CATACATACATACATACATACATACATACATACATACATACATACATACATACATACATACATACATACATACATACATACATACATACATACATACATACATACATAATTTGTGTCTGATAAACCTGCTACTAAAACTTCCCAAGTAGGATTCCTACCATCCTTAAAAGAGGCTGGAATCTTATCTAGCCAATATTCAAAGTTTTATTTTTTGCTGATTTTAGGGGATGATTGAAAAAAGGCAACAGTCATATAAAAAGGCAGTTTACCGTGTTGTTCCATTAAAAAAACACCAAGACAGTGGTGTAATATGTTTATTACTCATTTGGCAGCTATGATGGTCAATAGCCATTGACAGCTCATCCTCCATGTATCTCTCCAAACCCCTTTCAGGGTCAACCCAGTTGCCAGCAATTGCTATCTGTGGTCGCGAATCCTAGTTTAATTCTGTGCTGTATAAAAACATACTTTCTCTTATCTGTTCTGAATCACTCACCTTTACCAGATATCCCCGGATGCTAATGTTAGAAGTGCAGAAGAAAACTTCTCCCTATACAGTTTTGCCACATCATGCATGATGCTGTACACCTTTGCAATGCCCCCCCCCACATACTTGCCTTCTCTCTAACTGAAAAATCACCAAACATTAACCTCACCTTGTGTGAGTGTTACTCAACTCCTCTGATCATTCTGGGTTGCCCATCCCTGCATCTTTTTGGTGCTAAACATCCATTCCCATCTGGAAGTGTACTAATGAGAAATGTACAGTGGTGCCTCGCATAGTGAGGTTAATCTGTTCCGGATTAACCCTCGCTATGTGAAAACATCGCTGAATGGAACATAAAAACCCAATGGGCCCTAAACTTACCATTCAGCGAAGTTTCCTCCACAGCGGCAGCCATTTTCGCGCCCTCGGTAAGCGAGGGGAGGGCACGAAAATGCTGCACACGGCCATTTCGGGCATCCAGCGGCCATTTTAGAACCGCCAAACAGCTGATCAGCGGACATCGCAAAGCGAAGATTGGTAAGCGAAACGCTTACCAATCGTTGCTATGTGAGTTTTGCCCATTGGACCGATTGGTATGCCTCCGCATTAGCGATCCCGAAAAGGGGATCGCTATGCGGATTCGTCGTTGTACGGTGCGCTCGTTAAGCGAGGCTTGGAAGTGTACTAATGAGAAATGTATACAGGATTCCAAGAGCAGCTATGCCATACATTTACTTAAATGCTTTGTTATATTGACAGCTTTATTTCTGATTGATCTCCTAATAATCTTTCTGTGCAACCACATACTTAGTAAATGTTTTCAACAAACTATCCACTGCCAGCTCAGACCCCATTGCCTGCCTGTGAAGTCAATATTTTTGCCTCCTTTTGTGTATCACTCTGGACTTCCAAGAACAGCTATGCCATACATTTACTTAAATGCTTTGTTATATTGACAGCTTTATTTCTGATTGATCTCCTAATAATCTTTCTGTGCAACCACATACTTAGTAAATGTTTTCAACAAACTATCCACTGCCAGCTCAGACCCCATTGCCTGCCTGTGAAGTCAATATTTTTGCCTCCTTTTGTGTATCACTCTGGACTTGTAAATGCTGATCCACATTCTCCACTTTAATGCCCATTTTAATGCTTGTTCGCTAATTTAGAAAGAAGCCTGTGGAGCTTCTTTACTATCTCTTTTTGTTTTAATCATCTTGAACAATTTGGAATTGCCAGCAAAACTGACCATCGTGCTGCCCACCCTTACTCCAGATTAAAAATCACTTTTTGAGGAAAGTGCAATTTATCACACCATTTTGTTTAGTACCAACTTCTGTTGAGTCATAACTGGCATGAATAGGGGAAAACAGCCTAATTTCAAATCCATTTGAACACAGTTTGCTCCAACATGACATCAATCTGTACGTAATAAATCCCAGCTCCCTTACCAGGATATTTCTCTGTAACCTTTTGTAAGCGATACTGCTTGTAGACAGGACTCGTTACATCAACTTCGCAGCCCATTTTTTCATACAGTTTCAGTTGCCACTCAAACCCTTCGTTGATTCTGGAGAGACAAGTCAAAAGAAACCTTCTCACATCCCACAGAACATCCATTTTTGTCCCCAGGAGAAAAGGAAAGAACAGTTTTTAAGACAATAACCCACTTGGCATCAGGCTTGATGTCTTTGACGAAAGCATAGGCCTCTTCAAAAGACAGAGTATTGGCTTTCATTAAATAGGCAGTCACGACAGCCACACTTCGGCTAACTCCAGCTTGACTGTAAAAAACAAAAACAAAGAGGGACGGATTTGTGAACGTGAACACACAGAGGAAAGCCAGACATCTCATAGTCTTCAAAACCTATCTGAGCTCAGAGATCTCCTTTCCCCTCCAGTAATTTTTCTCTTCCTTCCCAATCGCTCTTCTTGACTGTCTTCTTTTTGCTGATACCTGTGACCCACACTGGGATACTTTTCTTTTTTGGTGAAGAGTGCAGTAAGAATACAATGAATAAATATTTCTTGCAAAAATCTGCCCATAAAAACTGCTGGCTACATTAGAAGTGTTGTGGAAGGTGTGATGGGGTATAAATAGGTTTATATTGCTCTTGATTCAGGTCTTATTATGTGCAGAAAGTCCAATTTTGTGAATTATTTTACATTTTTTTAAAAATAACCCTGTCCTAGGATGGAAATTAGTTAAAAACTCACTGCCCACTCACAATTGTGGTATCAAAATTCCAGTATAGACTTGTTTTATAATACCTGGCTTCCTTTTATTCAGTATTATAATAATCACACTGACAACCCCCCAGCCACTCTTGCTGTTTACGGAAATATTTATTTATTTATTTAACTTATATGCCACTCACACTACCCGAAGGTCTCTGGGCGGATATGTGTTATATTATGTTATGTTAACTGGCAATACCATTTGGTATGTTTACTATGTGGGGTTTGACGGTTTATAACTATTTTATGGTTTTGTATATTGTATCTTACTCATTTTTTAAAATTACTCTATATGTGTTAGCGGATATGTGTTATGTTACATTATGTTAACTGGCAATACCATTTGGTATGTTTACTATGTGGGGTTTGACAGTTTATAACTATTTTATGGTTTTGTATATTATATCTTACTCATTTTTTAAAATAACTCTGTCAATACAAATGCTAACACGCATACAATCCATTAACTCTGTATGAGTGATTGGGGATAAGGCTGATCATAAACAATTATGCCCCATGGAAATATGGCAGGTCAGCAGAAATCTGAGATTGATTTTAACTTCCTGCCAAAAATCCCACGCATAAAACTCTTGTGAGTGCAGCAATATCAAAGGGATAAATCCCACTGCTAGCCCTGAATAAGCTGGTGCCCAAACTTAGGACTGTTATCTGTTAGTTTGGTTTTGATGGCACCTAACACAACACCAAAAATTCATCTTAGCACTGAATTTGTTAAGCGCTGACTTAACCAATTCAGTTTATTCAATGGGCCTTCTCTAGCAGGAACAAAGAACTGGATTTACCCTTCACTGCCAAAGGAAATCCTGAAACATACGATACATTTAATAATTTTTGTGCGCCATCAAACCAATTCTGACTTACGGTGACCCTTTTTCAGGGTTTTCCAGGTAGAGAACACTCAGAAGTGGTTTACCTTTCCCTTTCTTCTAGGAGTGCCGTGGGACTGTGCAGCTTGCCCAAGGCCACATAGGTTGGCTCTTCTCCAGGGAGGCACTGTGGGGAATCAAACTCCCAACCTCTGCCGCCACAGCCAGATCCGTAACTCACTGAGCTATCCTGTCGCACATAATCTTACTTCTGCCCCTTTTCTCTCATCACAGCTTGGCTGATGGGAGCTCCTATCACCTTGAGAAATCTATAAAGGCATTTAATCCGTAACTCACTGAGCTATCCTGCCGCACATAATCTTACCTCTGCCCCTTTTCTCTCATCACATCTTGGCTGATGGGAGCTCGTATCACCTTGAGAAATCTATAAAGGCATTTTGCCATTCTGAGCACAGCTGCCATTCCCCCCCCCCAGCTCCTGATTGCCCATGTTCGTTTGGGACAAAGGATGCAGCCAAAATCCCTTTGGAAGTCCAGGCAAATAATGTCTACTGGAGCACGTGCCCCTAAGTCTGACACTCCCAAAGAACTGTTAGGGCCAGCAAGTCAAGATGTAGCTTTAATAGATACCATGTGGATTCTTAAACGCATCAGGGATTTCCACTCCCGGCCCATGGGGTTCCAACCCAATGACCCATTACCAGCCTAATTCCACTACATAATAACCCTGCGGCTAAATATTTCATTCTTTGTAGCTCCCCCAATGTCAGATGCCGCAGAAAACACCAGATGCCTGATGACATGACTTTTAATCCATGAGATTCTTTTTTACAACAGAGCCCTAAAACAACACGAAGCTGTAAATTACTGTGCCTAAACGTAACAGGCATCCAAGAGCCAGTGAATAGTATGAAACTGGCATTTCCATGTTTCCGTATGTCTGTCGAAGTGGAAGGAGATCCACAAAAGCTCACCGCAGAAAACACCAGATGCCTGATGACATGACTTTTAATCCATGAGATTCTTTTTTACAACAGAGCCCTAAAACAACACGAAGCTGTAAATTACTGTGCCTAAACGTAACAGGCATCCAAGAGCCAGTGAATAGTATGAAACTGGCATTTCCATGTTTCCGTATGTCTGTCGAAGTGGAAGGAGATCCACAAAAGCTCACATTAAATTAGCATTTCATTCAGCATTTCATTCTGTTTCCGTATGTCTGACGAAGTGGAAGGAGATCCACAAAAGCTCACATTAAAATATAATACCCTTTAAGGTGCCACGTGGTTTTTGTCTTTTGTTTTGTTTTCTTTCTTTGCCTGATACTAATCCATGAAAGCTCACTAGGAAACATACCAGTGACTTATAAGGTGCCAGCACTCTTTGGTGTTAAATCTCATTTTTGGATTGCATTGGTCATATACATACATTCATATATTCATATATGTATGAACAGGTATATGACAAATATGTATATTTGTCATATAATATATACATACATAGATACATATATACATACACATATACGTATACATACATCTATATATACATATATGTGTACGTGTACAGCCGGACCACACACCCACGGTGCTTCCAGCCCCAGCGTGTCCCGCCCCGGCCCCCGCCTCCCAGCCTCGCCCACTGACCAGCGCACCAGGACGCCGCCGCCCCGCTCCCGGGCTCCGCCGATGAAGGCAACGCAGTCGTCCAAGCGGCTCAGCAAGTCGCTCTCGGGCTGATCCAGCAGCGGCACGTGCAGCACCGCCTCGAGACCGGAAGCAGAAGCAGCAGCGGCGGCGGCCTCGGGGGGCTCCGAGTCCTCCACCACCAGCAGCGCCCTGACAGCAGCATCCCCGACGCACTCAGGCCGGCTAGGGTCGCGGCCGCTCAAGTACAGGCCAGGCAGCACCAACACCGCGGCCATCCCAAGGCTGGCCACGGCCTCTCACCTCCCTTTCCCCGCCCCTCAAGTTCCGGCAGTCCCCGCCCACTTTTGGAGAAGAGAACGGGCGCGCGTGCGTGCGCGCTCACGCCCGCCCTCTTGTCTTTGGCAAGCTGGCGGGGGACCTAGAGTGGGCACCATAAACTTATAAAGTAGAAGTGTTCGCTGCCGCGGAAATTCCTGGTTCCCACGCTTCGGGCCTCACCAGACGGAAGCGGGAGCGGGCAAGGGAAGCCCCAAAGGCGGAAACGGGGTTTCTTTCGACTCGAGCATCCATTTGTCCTCTCTACTCACCTTTTTAAAAAGCTGTTGTAATATTTTATGCGACACACACACGCATTATAGAAATGTAAATGTAAAATATAAACGCTCTAGAAAATGGGAGGAGCAAAGAAGGAACCATTTTAAAGGCCTATTACGGCCGCTCTGATGTGCCGTATCTTTTAGGGGGAAAAAATTAAAACATTGAAAACTTCCTCCGAGAACGAGGGGGGGCTTCTTTATTTTTCTTTCTTTTCTTAAGGGAGGCAGGCCATATATAGAGCTTGGTTTAACTGTATGCATCGCCCTCACACAGCCCCTGACAGACTAGCCATGAGAGAATATCTGATCCTTGACAGAGGGGGGAAAATGACTTAAAACGAACTAAAAAGAGACTAGTCCTAGATTTTCAACAAATAAGGCCTCATCAGTTTTGCAAGCATATAAGGAAGAGGGATAGCATGTTGGGAGTCTTGTGTTACAGGTGGTATTTGGGCACTGTGTGGGAACAAAAGCAATTAAAATTGACATCACTACCTGCAATACTGTAATTTTAAAAATGGTAAATTAATTTAGACAGTGGAATCAAAAGCTCTGCAAGCATATTAGATCACATATGTAGCAAATCTGAGTTTCAAAGTACAAGTTGAAGATTTTATGTACCATCAGTTTGCCTCTGGCTTATGGTGACCCCAAAGTCTTATTAGTAACAGACATTCTTATGTCTTTCACACTAAAGGCTGTGCCTTCCTTTCTTCAGCCAATCCATCTCATGTTCCATCTTCCTCTTAACTTGTTGCCTTCATGTCTTCCTCATACTTGCACAACGGTTGTGTTATTGACAGAAGCAGAACTTGAAGGAACCAGGAATGGCTTTTTGTGTAGCTAGACTGTGGGCTTTGTTCTGTTAAATATTCAAAACAAATTTCTAGGGAAATTTCTGATTGCATACCCTAGTTAGCTTCAACAGACTGGGCAGCAAGCTTTTTCCATATAGTCCATATGGAGGCCCCATATGTAGCTGGGCTAATACGCTAGTCCTAGAAACTCAGGAATGATCACTAGAAGGCTGCTACATGATCCAGCCACATAGTGGGAAAATGACATCAGTTGTTATTTTAACTATTAATGCACTGGCTTTCAAATAACTTCAGAGTTATTGATACAAATGAACTTCCTGTAGTTGCTTATTACCCAACTGCCACCAATATTTCTCAATTCTCTTTCCAAACACAATTATTTTAGTTTTAGAACAACTAGCCAAATTCAGATTATTTATATACACCAGTGTAGGTCAAGCAGTGTAAATCTCAGCCCTGAATTATCACTAGTTAGAGGCCAAAGTTTGTATTCCTTTTTGCACTCCCAAGTCACAAGTGTGATGCGCTATGAGGAATGCAACAACTGACTCCTTAACTGGGGATGATTCAGATTTCACACTTTTTGACTTAACACACTTCAGTGATAGAATTCTGGCCTTTAACTTGGAGGAGTTTCTTGGCACAGTGTCTAACGTTCTCAGCATCACCAGCATACAGTAAAATGGTCATGCCCCTATTTTTTGGGTGAAGAGCGAAACAAATCCACAACTGACGAGAATACCATTAAGATAATTTGAATAGGAGAGGTATTAGTCAGTAGCCCTGGTGCACTCAATTATTAAAAGGGATGATTTGAAGGGACATCTGCTTGCAGTGGCCTTGACATGTAGAAAAGAATCTAACTTCTAAACAACCTTATTAACTATCTTTAGGAGAGTCTGTTTGTGCCAAAGATCTGTATGGGACAAGGAGTCAAAGATGTCCCCCCCCCAAAAAAAAATCTGCAAAAGAAGTTTAAAGGAAGTTTCTGGAAAAGAATACTGTGTCTGCTTTTCTCTTCTGTGGCTTCTTTGAACTTCTTTTTCATTTTATTTAACACCTGGTTTCATGAGGCTGGTTTCAGCCGTTTAGTTTCACGTATTTTCTCACAGTCCCCAAAATAGATGTTTCTCAGTTTCGTCCACATTCCTCCCTACTGTAGGTATTTACGTCTTTGCTGTCTTTGTTTCCATGCAAACATAGTTGTGGATAATAACACATTTTTAAAAAGAAAATGAAACTACCCCCTTGTACTTTCTGTTTAATGCATTCTTTGTACAATCCGATTTCGTGTGAGTGTGCTACCAAAATGCACTGTTTCAGGCCCTTTTATTAAACCAATAATACATATGGTGGCTTGGTATTATGAGTACAATAAGCCCTATGAAATGTAGTTATGCAATAAAAGTTCTGTTTGTCCTACAGTGGTACAGCTGAAATCTGTATTTCTGCTGCAGATCCAAAGGTATGGCAGATCTTCTCATGTGCATGTTACATTAATCAGAAGGTCCACATTAGAACATTATGTGCCTTTACCTTTCTCTAAGGCAGTGGTTCTTAACCTTGGGTTACTCAGGTGTTTTTGAACTGCAACTCCCAGAAACCCCAGCCAGCATAGCTGGTGGTGAAGGCTTCTGGGAGTTACAGTCCAAAAACACCTGAGTAACCCAAGGTTAAGAACCACTGCTCTAAGGTAAAGGCACCTTTACCTTAAAGGCACCATTAAGGGTCAACCTTAACAATTCAAGAAATCCCCTGTTTAATTTCTTGGAATTCCCCTTAACATTTGGTTTGGTCTACTGCCTGCTTAGCAGTTCAAGGTGAAGCCTGGTTGACTTGAAGCAGAAGGAGTCCTTTACCATTTTGTGAGACAATTTCTAATGAACACATCACTACAAAGCATATGAGTTTCATCTCATGTGAAAGTACGAGGCTATGCCTATCTGTATTCATTGTAAGGTCTCATCTGCACTAACAAAGTGACATTCAAATGTCTATTATATGACTAATAGGCAATGCTGCATGGTTTAATTTAGCAAAAGCTGACTGCTATATGAGCTGAATTCTAATTCTCTCTTGTTTGAGACTGGAATGCCCAATCTCTAAATCAAGGAAAACAAGGAGCTTGCAACATATCTGACTTCCCAACTGTAGTATGATATCAGAGAACCTAATATTTAAATTATTTACCTATCCATGTACATTATCGTGGATGTTCTCTGAATCCTGGGTTCTGAAGCTAAGTCCCTTCAGTTTTTTCTCTACATTAAAACATGTACAGCTTATACATGCATCAACAAATGTTTTCCTTGGCACCAATATCACCATCACCACCAAAACAAGAGCTGTAGGACGGGTGGTTGGGAAAGGGTCCTTCAACTATTAGGGAAGATTTAGTAAAATGTATCTGCCAAGAGTTTCCTTGTTGCATCATACCATCTTCTGTGAAACATTTTCACCAAATGTTTCAACTGACATTGCGATACTTCTCCACACTCTGTGCTTGTTTTATTCACAGAATGTTACCCATCTTAGCACAACTGGAAATCCACACTACTGATTTATACTCTTCAAGTCTGAACCCAGAGACACCCTCTTGGTATATGTTCAGAGCATAGCCCCTCCTAGTTTCCCCTGTTACACCTCCCGTCTGATTTTCCATGCACAGTACAATGATGCTTGTAAATGGAGGCATAGTTTACTCTCTGGTGTGTTATGTTTCACTTCCTTCCTCAACTGGATGTGCAACTATCTTGACCATAGATCGAGGCCCACAACAGAATCCAGCACTGCAAAGGGCCTGGTGGGCAATAAGAACAACACTTGTAGCTGTCTTTTAAAAAGGAGTATAAAATCTAAATGTAGTCAGTGGATTAGATTAATTTGTGAAACTGGATTAATTTTTATGTCTTTCTAGTGCTTTCTCCCCAACTCGCCTCTTGATGTCTCATATTTTATGCAGAGTCTTTACAACAAGGGCCATAGGAGGCAATTTACCAAAGTAGTTTTAAGTCGTGACATATGAGTAACTTTTGCCATTGGTGTCAGAAAGTCTAAGTGTAAATAAGGCTAGGCCTCCTGAGCATTCCCTCATCCTTTTCTAAGAGAGGTTATTTAACAATTGTCCAGTCTAAATTCCTTCCACCATCTGTGTCGGCAGCTACTGGTCTTGGGATCATCAAGAGAATGGTGACTTCTTAAGTCGCTAGTCAACATACTGCTCTGGCTTCTGCCATTCACAGGGTTGCTGTTTATTTTTATAAATGTGATGGGTTCTTAGTCTGGATCGTGTTTCTGAAACAGTCAGTTCATATTACTGAAACTTGTTTTGCTTTGTGCCGTGCTGCTTGAGGTTACCTTGGTGCATTGCAATGAGGAATCTAAGCCAGCTAGTACATGCCAGACATTGTTACCCAAGTAGGTTGAATATGTAGGGATAATGGGAAGGTTGAAACATTTGCACAATAATGTTGCTTCTTTTCCAAATCTTGGCTGGATTTCTGTTCACCACACATATTCCTGGACCTGAAGCTCCTTAATGATGTCAGAGAAGGGCCTTCCAACTGTGGACTTAATTGGATTCTCTGTAAGGAGGTGCTATAGTTCACTATGGCAGTTATGAACTGACCATGATGAATGGATACTATCTCCCAGTTATTTGTTGGTGTGACAGAACCATTTTTCCCCCAAATTCTACTCCAAAATGACCTTTCAATTTTTTTTTCATCCAGGATCCCCAGGATTCTAATGGATCTTCTAAAATGTCTGTTTGCTTTCCCATTAGTGCTGGCTCTTCCCTGCAGATACTCTGAAAGGATTGTCAGTTCACTCAAAATGTCATAGAGAAGAGCTAAGTCAAGTAGAAATTGTTTGGAACACAAGTGGTTATTACAGTCCATTGAAAGAAGAGTTAGCTGCTTGT